TGTGTGCTTTGTCCACGCGCATAAGAAAATAAAAGTGGGTTGCATTTGAACTTTTGCCGGTACCCTTTTGTTATTTTACTAAGGTGGAAATTCTCTTTGTTTATTTTTTAATTTGTTTATCTACTATTCCTAGTTACCAAATTCACTCTTTTTTTTTAAGACGGAAAACAATTATTCTCATCATAGTCACTAATCACTCAGATTTTAAAGAAATATAGTCTTGCATTCATAGAGATACAATATCACACAAACATTACTAAAAATGTAGAGCAAGATATATCATATTATCCTCTTCTTCCCCATATAGTAGCTTGTCCTTGATTGTTGATCGTAATCACAAGACTAAAAAAAAGTAAAACAAACGTTTGTCAATTTGTTATTGAATTTGAAAAGTATCAAAACTAAAACAAATCACAGTTACCTATTATTATTAGAAATGGCTGTAGCTATGATCGGTAAACCAGGAGGGTCTTGGAACCTATTTGAAAAACAAAAATCATTAATGTTCCCAACCATATTTTGGAACCTATTACCTGAAAATCAACCCAACCATATTTGTTCAGTAAGGGTTTTACTTACTGAAACAACACATTACGACGAAACCCGAAATCCTGAATTGTTATCTCTCCTTGATCGTTCCCTAGTGAACAAAACCAAAAGACAAAAACAGTGAATAACCAAAAGAAAACTAAATATATATAATAACTGAATACCTACCTAATGCAACTACATCATGGAAGTTAGGCTCAAATCTACTCGTTGTAGGAGGGAATGTCGCTATACGAGTCCGCTGGTTTTCATTGGCTCCTTGACGCAGATAGTTAAAAAGAACCAAGTCCTCATTATCACACTACAAAACAAATTGTATTAGAAATTTCAGAAACATATAAAACATATTAGAATTTGTAACAATGATAAGAAAAACTAACTTACATTTGTTAAAATAGCTTTATCCAGACATTGAAAAAATTTCACATTTGAGTTTACATCAAGTGTTTGTACTTGTCCATACACAGCCATATCTTTGGTCCGGGTCGAGCTATACGTTAACCATCGAGGTCGCCAAGCTTCCTCTATGATAAACATAAAATCAATATACAGATTAAAACTTACAAACAACAAAATAAATATCAAAGACGAAAGCGTTACTTGGTGACATACTTGACAAAGTGAACCGTCTCACACCTCTTTCTTGGCCACAACTTAAGATCGCATAATGATCATGCCAATCAAAATCCTGAAAGTAACAAGTAAAAAAATTAGTTATCTAAACAAATTATACTATTTAAAGTATAATGTAATTAAGGTATATAATTACCACACAACAAAACTGAGTTGGGGTAGGAATAGGATTAAATTTCTGAAGGCATACACCTGTTTTAATACTCCAAACCCGAATGGATTCCTAAAAATGTTTAGGAGTTACTTCAAAATGTTTACGAGTTACTC